CAAAAACCCAGAGCCCTCTCTGCCTGGCACACCGAGGGCTCGCAGCTGAAACAGAAGAGATGGCCCAGTGAGATCGAGGTTGCAAAAACAACACGGCACCCAAAGGTGCAAATCAGAAACAAAAAAATAACTTGAGAAACCAAGATGTTTTCCTCCTGTCTGAACCAGATATCATCCTTCTAGGCATGGACAACAGAAAATGTACTGGGGAAGTGTTCCGGTGGGGAGCTGCGTTTTGTGGATCAGCTCCTTCCCCATCAGGTACCAGAAGGTTGATCTAGCATCCTGAGGCAACAGCATCATCTGGGTAATAAATAATAATAAAAATAATAATAAATTTGAAAAGCAACCCTCTGACTGTTTGTTTGGCAGCCCTCCAGCTAGCTAATTTCCTCAGCTGCTCCCATGATAACAATGACACAGACTAATGCAACCTCCGCTCCGCTCGTGCTGTACAACATCCCCGACGGCATTTACCATTAGTATCGAGCTCAATGAGATAGGAGGATCTCTCCACAGGACTCCCGTAATCCTCGAAGTAGATGGCAGGCGGCTCTCTCCACCGCATGGCAGCCGCTGCGCCGGGAAACGGCCGTGCTTGTGCTCGGTGTTGGGGAGAGGGAGATAAGTCAGAGCTGAAGTTCCTCCCTCCCTCCCCTCCGAAAGCCGATCCTCAATTTCGCAGCTTCCTCAAGGGAAAGCCACGCACAAAAGATTTGCCTCTGCTCTCTGCAGAACTCAATGTGTTCTCCCCTCCCCTCTGAGGAAGGTAGCTCAGACTTCAGTCAAATCGTTCCCCTATCGCTCTCTTAGCGGCGGGGTGTTTCTAAGTGCGAGCTGTTGGAAGGCTCAGCTGTGGGACAAAGAGCTTTTAAGCACGAGCGTGGTGGTAAGGCAAGGCTTCGTGTGCCACGCTCTCTTCTTTGGGCACGCAGCAGAATTTGCTCACCAGCCAACACGAACAACTAACGGGAAAGGAGTCAAAGTGCTGACGAGTCACGGCAAGGAGTCTTCCCCCCCTCCCAGCAAAAAAAGAAACCCGGTGTTTGTGAAGTTCACAGTACAAGGGGCACGGCAAAGCAAACGAACTGAGCTGTTCACAGATGGCAATGCTTCCTTCCACACTTGTGTAACTTCTCCCAGACGTTCCCTGAAAAGGGAGAGAGGGAGGGGGGAAAAAAAGAAAAGAGAAAAAAAGAAAAAGCAAAACCAGCTGGCTGCTTACACAAGGCATCCGGAACGATACAGCCGGGACTCCAACATTTCCATTCAGTGCAGCAGAGCATGCTCCTGTGTAAATAGTTTCCATATGTCATCATTACAATAAAACACAAAAAAACAAAAAAGAAAGAAAGAGAAGGAGCATAAACTTTCCAGAGCCCAAACCTCTCCCTGTGCAAAACAAATTCCCTGCTCAGGGGAAGGAAAAACTCTCCACTGGCGGAGAGTGCAAACAAACTCCTCTCGTTTGGAGGAGCTCAGGCGGCCGCGGGGGATCTCGAGGGCAGAGCCGAGAGGGGAATGAGGGACAGAAACCATCCCCAGGAACCAGCGACCGATCACCCTTCACAGCCAGGCTCTTCTGTGTCAAACTGAAGTCAATTCAGACTTTCGCCGTTTGATCTTTGGTGTCTGCATTTGGTTTAATAACAATTTTAGAAATCCAACAAATTAGTAACCTCCTACGAATTCAAAGAGCTATAAACAAACCCTACAGGGTAGCGCTCACGTTCGCCTCGGAGCTCCCCCCGCCTGGCTCTCATCAGCCTCTCCGCCAGATGTTCTGCTTTCTAGATAGCACTCGCTTCTTATGGTGTTACACAGACCGAGATGCCTCTAATTAGCTCCTCGACTGACTCCAAAGCCTTTACCAGACTTACCAGGGCTTTCTCCTAAAAGACTAAGGAAGGTCTTGACGGAGCTGCTCATTGCCATCCTGTCCATGTAACGCTATTTTAGCAAGTATACCCGTGAGGACAGACCTCTGCAAACTGTGTGGAAGGCAGGGCAAGCGACATAATTCAGCAAAAACATTCTTATAGTCAAATCTGTCATTCATAGGGTTTACATAACACGTGTGTACCCAGTGTAAAACGACAACATGTAAGTTACTCGTCTAATGAGTTGCAGGTGCAACTAATATTCCTCTTGATAGGCAAAAAAGGAAATGTCAAGGAGACACGACTCCGGAGACAGGACACGTCTTCGTTCACATTGCCTTACAAGGTTTCTGCAAGCGGATGCATCAAATA